CTGCATGGATGGATGGCTGCATGGACGGACGGACAGATGGAAGGACGGACGGGTGGCCGGATGTCCCTGGCCCGACGCCAACCCCTTACCCGTGTCCTGCCGGAACTGATGCATGGACTGGAGGTCGATGACGTAGGGCGCCAGCTGGACATCGACTTGTCCCAGCACCACGCTGCCGCGCGCGTCCTCCTTGAGCACGTTCTCGATGTGGTGGCACACGGCGGCCGAGTAGGGCCGCCAGCGCCCGTGCTCGTTCAGCCACTCCCACACCACCACGCGGGCCACGTTCTGCGGGGGGAAGCCCAGGCCCCCCGAGGCCAGCATGGCCCCCGGGCCGGGCCGCGCCATGTCCGGGCCACCGCGGCTCTGGGGGACGCGGGGGTCACCCGGGGCCCCTCCGGACGCTGCTGCTGCGGGGCTCAGCGGGGCCGGCGCTGAGGGGCTCCGCAGGGGCGGGCGCTGCCAGCCGGCTCCCCGAGCTGCCCGAGCCGCCCGGGGCCGCTCCCGCTGGGGCCATCCATCACCCGGCACGGCCTCCGCGGCCCTTCCTCCTCCCCGCGGGGCTGCTGGCAGGGCTCGGGCTCCAAAAAGCCACCAGGACTGCGTCGGCTCGAGGACGGCGATGGGGACGCGCAGCCACGGCGCTGGCCCCGAGACGCCCACTGCTCCTCTTCCTCCTCGCGTCCTGCTGCTCAGCCCACGTCCCCGGCGGCTCCACGGCTGTCCCCGCACGTCACCGGTGGCGAGTGACGGGGGTGTCACCTGCAAAACAGGGCCACGGCGGGGTCACCCCGGGTACCGCCGGGCGGGTGGCACTGCGGGGCCGTGCCCACCGCCCCGCCGAGCCCGAGGGCAGCGAGGCCGCGGTGCCCGCAGCCCTGGCAGCGCGGGCTGCTTGCCAGCCCCGGCCGGCTGCCGGCCTCCGGCGTGACAGAGGGGACAGCGGGGACAGGGGGGGACGGGCCACCCTGCCCACGGCCCTGGGGGGCTGCCGGGGGTCCCAGGAGCCGGGGCAGCCTCATCGCTCCCCGCGCCGGAGCTTTGGGTGCCGGGGAGCCCGCGGGCCCTGGATCCCGCTCCAGCCGCCGCTGATTTATGATCTGCACTGCAGGCATCGGGCTGGGGGTGCTGCCGGCCCCCCGCTCCCCGCCGGCCCCCAGCCCACCCACGGCAGCCCCCAGGGGCCCGGGCGAGGGGGGATCGGCCGCACAAACAGGCGGCAGACGGAGGCACGGCCACGGCCGGGCGCGCACAGACAGACACACTGACACGGACGGACACGGGCACACGCGCTGGCACACGCACAGCCGGGGACACGGACACACAGCGGGACCGACAGGGGGGAGCCACGGCAGCACAACAGCCCCCCCGCGGGCACACTCACCGCGGCCCCGGCTGGGCTGCGCTCACACGCACCGCGCACCCCACACGCGTGTGCGCCCGCCGTGACCCCGAGCCCCGCGCACGGCTGGGGGGGACCCTCACCCAGCCCTGAGCCCCCCGGACCGCGCGGTGGGGGCGATCCCGGGGCCAACAGCCCCCCCAGACCGGGCCCCGGTGGAGGGGGGGTTGAGAGACCAGGCCTGGCCCCGTGCACGGTGTCCCCCCCGCCGCACGGCAGCCCCCCGGTGCAGGGTGCCCCGCCGGTGCCCGGTCCCCCGCCACGCACGGCAGCCCCCGGGATGGATGCACGGCCCCTCCGCGCACGGTATCCCCGGGCACGGCAGGCTCTCCCGCTCGGTGCCTGTCCTGTGCCCCCCCGGCGCACGGGGCCCCCAGGCACGGCAGCCCCCATCCCTCCGGAGTGCGGTGCCCCCGAGGTACGGCAGCCCCCCCGGTGCCCCGTCCCCCCATCGCGGTGCCCGGTTCCCCGCGATCACGGCATCCCCCAGCCCGCCGGTGCCCGGTCCCGCCGCCCCCCGCCCCGCCATGGCCGCCGCGGCCCCCGCCCGTTACCTCCGGCGGCCGCAGCCGCACCGGGACCCGCGGCCGCACCGGGAGCAGCGGCGGCGGCGGCGGCGGGAGCGGCGGGCGCGGGGCCGGGCGGCGGCAGCGCTCAGGCAGCGCCAGGCAGCAGCCACCGACACCGGCACCGGCGGCGCGCACGGCCGCGGGCACGCGAGGCGGGAACGCGCGCCGGGAACGCGCGCCGGGGAGCGGGGGCACGCACGGGGGAGCGGGCATCGGGATCGGGAAAATGCACGGGAAACCGGGCATCGGGATTGGGAAAATGCACGGGAAATGGGGCATCGGGATCGGGACCGGGATCGGCATCAGGATCGGGATCGGGAATACGCACGGGGAACCGGGCATTAGGATCGGAGGCGTGTATCGGGACCGGGGTCACGGTCGGGGAAGCCGGGACATGCAGCGGGGACACGCACGGGGACTCGGTGACTGCACCGGGGACACGCACAGGTTGGGGTGGCTGCATTGGGGACACACACTGGGACGGGGCTCCCCCACCGGCGCCAGGCACTCACAGCGGGGACACCCGCTGGGAACTGTGGGGACACCATTGGGACACGTAGGGGACCGGGTGTCTGCACCGGGGACATGAACTGGTGTCTGCACTGGGGACACACCAGACAAGGGACACCCACTATGACAGGGCATGGGGGACCAGGGACACACACTGGGGACACACACTGGATGTCCCCATGGGCAGCTGTCCCCCAGGTGTACCACCCTGGGGACACTTTGAGGGGACACTTTGAGGGGATACTTTGAGGGGACACTTTGTCCCCCCCTTAGGACAGGTGTTTCCCACAGCCTTGTGGGGAAACTGAGGCACAAGAGGCGGCAGGAGGCCCTGAGCCACAAAGGCACCCCAATATCTGTCACCTTCAGCCCAAGGGTGTGTGGCTCTGCCTGCCAAGGGACAGATCTGGGGACAGATGTGGGGATGGGAGCTGTCACTCTGGTTGTGCCCATGGAGGGACAGATTCGGGGACAGATCTGGGAATGGAGGAGTTGTCACTATGGCTGTGCCCATGGAGGGGCAGATTTGGGGACAGAGGAGTTGTCACTGGAGTTGTACCCATGGAGAGACATCTGGTGACAGATCTGGGGACAGGAGAGTTGTCACTATGGTTGTGCCCATGGAGGGACAGATTTGGGGACAGATCTGAGAATGGAGGAGTTGTCACTATGGCCATGCCCATGGAGGGACAGATTTGGGGACAGGGCTAATGTTGGGTTAGGGTTGGGGTTGGGCAGAGGTGGCCGCGGTGGCCTCGCGGTGCCACCTGGTGGCTTCGAGCACATGGGGGGTCCCGGGTCGGGCATGGGGACACTCACCCGTCCCCTTTCTTGTCCCCACGGTGGGGGACTCACTCCGTGCCAGCCCAGGGTCACCCTCTGCTACCAGGACAATGAGCTGTGCTCGGGGCTGGCACGGGGCAGGGACACGGCATGGGGACATGGAGATGGCATGGGGACATGGAGATGGCATGGGGACCGGGAGATGGGATGGGGACATGGAGATGGCATGGGCACAGGGAGATGGCATGGGCACAGGGAGATGGGATGGGGACATGGAGATGGGATGGGGACGTGGAGACAGGACAGCGATCCGAAAATGGGACATGGCAGAAGGACCTGGAGCTGGGGTGGGGACACAGCGTGGGGACAGAGCTGGGGACACAAATCCAGGGTAGGAGCCAGAGCAGGGACACGGAGCTGGGACTCGATGAGGGGACATGAAGCTGTGATGGGAACACGGAGGTGTGACAGAGCCGTGGCACAGGGACCTGAAGCCACCCCGAGGAGCCCTGAGGGGGCTCAAGCATCAGACAGGGGGTGAACCCTGGCCGGGTGGGTGTCATTGAGGGCTTTGGGGACAGGACCCTGTGCACCGGGGCTGGGCCCTCCATCCGTGTGGGGACACACCCGGTGCAAGCCCCTGTCCCCCCCTAGAGCCCCCCCGTCCCTGAGCGCCACCACAGCCGTGTTTAGTCTGAGCAGGAGCGTGGGTGACCTTCGGCACCCTCGAGGGTAAACAGCCCCAAGGACACCCCGGGGGGGCCGCAGGGTAGGGGTGACCCATGGGTGGGGGTCCCTGGGGGGAGCTGGGTGCTCCTCCTGTGTGCCCACTGTGGGGGACACCCACAGCCCACAGAGGAGGACAGCGTGGGGGGTCCCGGGGTGCTGCCACGGCAGGGAGGTGTCCCCAGACAGACAGACAGACAGACAGACTGTAGGGCCCCCCCGGCGGGGACCACCCGCCCACACACACACGCACACACACACTCGCGGTCTTCTTGCACGCCCCGACACGGGGACCACACACGCGCACACACATGGCAGCGGCAGCTGGAAGAACAGCAGGAGACAGACAGACAGACGGACGGACGGACAGACAGACAAAGGCGGGCAGACAGACAGGAGGGTGGGTGAGCACACGCCCGGGCCGTGCACACACACGCAGGCACAAACGCCTCTGTGTGTGCACACGCGTCTGTGAATCCGTGGGCGCACACGCGTGGGTTCTGCGCGTGTAAAAGTGTGTAAAGCAACGGACAAATGGGGATTTTGCGCGCACACGCGTGTGTAAACCCACGCACAGGGATGCACACGGAGAGTCGCGCACACGCAGGGTCTCGCACACGCGTGTGTCCCCAATCGCTCCCAGGGGCACCGGGGTCCCGCACCGCGCCCCCTCCCCGGTCCCCACCTCCCCCGGCCCCGTTCCTGCCCCTCCCCGGGCCCGTTCGCTCCCGCACCCCGTGTCCGCCCCGGCAGCGGGACCCCGGAGCCGGCGGGGCGGAAGGCGGGCGAGCGGGCGGGGGGGCAGGCGGGGGGTCCCTCCTCCATCCCTCCTCCTCCTCCTCCTCCTCCTCCATCCCTCCTCCTTCCTCCTCCCCTCCCCCGCCGCCCGCTCGGTGCCGGTGCCGGTGCCGGTGGCCGGGCAGCGCCGAGCCCCGCCGAGCGGCATGGCCGGGGCCCGGGGGTGCCGCCGCCGCCCGGCGCTGCCCGCGGCGCTGCCCGCAGCCCTGGGGCTCTGCGGGACCCTGTGCCTGCTGCTGCCGCCGCCCGCCGCCGCCTGGAGCCCGGCCCTGCTGCCGCCCGCCGCCCGCAGGTACCGGCACCGGGACACGGGGAGCGGGGCACCGGGACACGGGGAGCAGGGCACCGGGGACACGGGGAGCGGGGCGCCAGGGACACGGGGATCAGGGCACCGGGATACGGGTATCGGGGCACCGGGGCACGGGAAGCGGGGCACCGGGGGCACGGGGGTCGGCGCTCCGGGGCAGCATCGCCTGCTGCGGGCACCGGGGCTCTTGGTACCGGGGGCTGTGAGTACCGAGAGGCACCGAGGGCTGTGGGTACCGGGTACCGGAGGCTCTGGGTACCGGGTACCGGGGGCACCAGGCACCGACAGCTGTGGGTAGTCGGCACCAGGGGCGTCATGGAGCTCCGGGCACGGGGGACACCGGGGACGTGGGGATGTGGGCACCGGGAGACTCCAGGATCTGTGGGTAGCAGGGGTATCAGGCATGGGGGCATCAGGCGCGGGGTTCTGTGGGTACTGGGGGGCTCTGTACCAGGCGTGGGGGCACCATGGATGGGGGGCACCGGCAGCTGGGCACTCCAGGGAGGGGCTCAGTGATGCTGGGGGTGCTGGGCAGGGGGAGGCTGGGGGCACTGGGAGATACTGGGGCCAGCAGGACTTACTGGGGGCATCAGAGCTGCCAGGCTTAGCAGGGTGCTGGGGCTACTGGGGCTGCCTGGGCATTTTGGGATCCTGGGGCTGCCCAGGCATTTTAGGATCCCGGGGCAGCCTGGCCATACTGAGGCTGAATTGCTGGTATTACTGGGATTACTGGGATGGATTTTGGGGCTGCTGGCTGGCCGTACTGGCACTACTGGGGCTGCCAGGACTCCAGGGGCTGCCTGGGCATACAGGGACATGCTGGGACTACTGGGTTTGCCTGGGCATATTGGGATCCTGGGGCTGCCTTGGCATGCTGGGACTACTGGGAATCCTGAGCATGGTGGGGCTCCCTGGGCAAAGTGGGGGTGCTGAGAGGGCTGGAGTTGATGAGGAGTGAATGTCCCCATCCCCAGGGTCCCCAACCCCAGGGTCCTGCCAGTCCCTTGGATTTGGCCCAGCTCGGGGCTCTGGGGGTGCTCTGGGGGGCTCTGTGGGTGCTCTGTGGGTGCTCTGGGGGGCTGTGGTCCCTGTCCCCCCGCAGCAATGGGGGGGTGCCGGCAGAGGGGGGGTTGTTTACAGGAAACCCTCGGCTCTGGCCGTGTCTCCGCCACCGGATTGCCGGGACCTCCCGGTTCCGCTCGGCTCAGAGAGGCGACGGGCAGAAGCCGCCTCATTTCCCCTTCCCCTCCCGGCCAAGCCCAGGAAGCCCCTGGCGCCTTGGCACGACCCTGCTGTGTGTCCCCGGGACCCCCGGGCCAGCACCCAGCACCAGGACCCCCCACCTCATTCCATCCCATCCCACCCCACGCCTCCCTGAGGCATCGCTGGGATCTCACATGCCCAACACGGGGGCACAAAGCCAAGCGGCTGATTTGGGGAATGGGAGCGGGATTCGGAGCCAAACCTGGTGTGGGCTTTGCCCCGGGTGGGCACAAGCCCTGGCAGCAGAGCCCGGAGCCCCTCGGTGCCAGCGCGGTGCCGGGTGGGCCGGGGTCACACCGGGCCAGGCAGGCGCTCACATGCCAAAGCCTGCCAGCTCCTGCCCTGCTCCCGGGAGGGCATTCCCCTGGGCAACGAGTCGGGACCCGTCCCCATCCCATCTCATCCCACCCCATCCCATCCCATCCCATCCCATCCCATCCCATCCCATCCCATCCCACCCCTATCCCATCCCATCCCATCCCATCCCATCCCATCCCATCCCATCCCAACAGGCATTTCCACAGCTGCAGCTGGCACCGCCCAGCAGTTGGGTACTCTGCGAGGGGGACAATGCCCCCCGGGACCCCCTTGGCACGGCAGGGTGGCAGCGGGAGCGTGGTGACAGCCCCGGCGGGCTCTGTGCCTGCCCAGCCCTGGCACGGTGCCCGCCTGGGACGCTGCCCAGCCGGAAAGCCCTGTGCCACCCCGCAGTCCCCCCCGCCTCCGGCACCTCCCAGACAATTGTCCCCCCGCGGCGCCCGCTTGTCCCTGCTGCCACCGCCTCCCTCCTTGCAGCACTGCAGCGGGCACGAAAAGCTCATTTTTTGACCCAAATTGTGCAGCCTTTGAATTTCGAGCTGCCGAGGGTACTGCGAGTCCTTCCCGCCGCGGGGATGGGGACATCGGTGTCATGGCGGGGGGAAACTGAGGCTGGGGTGCCCGGGGAGGGGGTGGGCAGAGCCTGGCATGTGGGGCAGAAGAAAGGAGCCTTTGTGTGGGGTGGGCTGGGGGCACGGGGGGGCTCCGGGCCAGCGCTGCCGGGAATGCAGCAGGAATGTGCTGTCCCATGTGTCACAGCAGAGCTCCCCTTGGGCATCCCAAAAACCGGGCATGGGCGGCAGTTCGGGTGGCAGCACCCCCGTGGTGTCCCCGAGGAAGGGCTGGTGACATTTCCCTTCCAGCAACTGGTGCTCCTACACGGTGACACGGACGGTGTCGTGCCACGTCCAGAACGGGACCTTCCTGCAGAGGGTGTTCCAGGGCTGCCGCTGGCCCCTGGCCTGCAGCGGGGGCAGGTGAGCGGGGCCACCAGGGTGCCCTGGGGACAGGGACAGCCGGGATGTTGTCCCCAGGGCGGGTGTGAGCTGCCCCCGTGTGCCACAGCTACCGCGCCGTGGTGAGGCCGCTCTACAGGGTGACCTACAGGACACTGACGGCGCTGGAGTGGCGCTGCTGCCCCGGACACGGCGGACAAAACTGCGAGGAAGGTGGGAGATGGACGGGATGGGGACATGGGCAGGGAGGGGTGGTGGCACTCAGGGGCTGTGGGACACGGCCTTCGGTGTCACTGCAGGGTGAGGAGAGGGATGGATGGATGGATGGATGGATGGATGGATGGATGGATGGATGGATGATGGATGGATGGATGGATGGATGGATGGATGGATGGATGGATGGATGGATGATGGATGGATGATGGATGAGGGATGGATGGATGTATGATGGATGGATGGATGGATGGGTGGATGATGGATGGATGATGGATGAGGGATGGATGGATGTATGATGGATGGATGGATGGATGGATGGGTGGATGATGGATGGATGGATGGATGGATGGATGGGTGATGGATGGATGGATGGATGGATGGATGGATGGAGGGAGATCCCTGGGGCAGTGCATGGACAGTCAAGGGTACAGGAGTGGGTGGACACTGGGATGTGCCTGGGGTGGGGAACAAACAGCCGATGGACGGGGTGTGGGTGGATGGACAGATGGACAGATGGACAGATTGATAGATGGACATTCCCCAGCATGGCAGTGCCCACGAGGGGCTGCAGCCCCCCAGCCACGAGGGGCCGGCTGTGGGTGGGCAGTGGATGAATGGGTGCGAGGCTGTGCCGTGTGTGGGAGGACAGGCGCTGCCAGCTCTGACAGGGGGGTCTTTGTCCCCATTGTCACCACGTCCTCCTCCTCCTCCTCCTCCTCCTCCTCCTCCTCCTCCTCCTCCTCCTCTTCCTCCCTCTCCCCCAGGACTCCACCGCAGGTCCCAGCCCACCCCTGGCTTCATGGGGGCTGTGAGGGCAGCGGGTGGCACCCAGGGGTGGGGAGGGGACACCCAGGGGTGGCACCGAGGCTCTGCAGGGCAGCGAGTGACACGGCGGGGTCCGGAGGCAGCCGAGTGGGCACAGCGCTGGGGGAGGCGGGGGGTTCTTCCTCCTCCTTCTCTTCCTCCTCCTCCTCCTCCTCCTCTTTCTCCTCCTCCTCCTCCTCCCTCTGTGCTTGGCCCCCTGCCCCACATCTGGCCCCACTTAGGGCTGTCCCCTGCAGCACGGGGGTGGCCATGCTGGGCGGGGTGACAGCGTGGGGGGGCTCGGGGGCCACCGCTGCTGCAGACACCCCTTTGCTGCCATTCTGGGTGGCCCCGAGCCGCTGTCCCCAGGATCCCTCGGTGGGGACAGGGGACTGGGACACCCCCGCGGGAGGTGGGCAGTGTCCCCAAGACTGTGCCCCCCCCGCCAAAGCCACCCCAGAATGGGGCTGGGGGCTGGGGGGGGAGGGGGGGGTGTTTGGGTGTGGGTTCAGGGCTGAGGGGGGAACTGGGGTGGCTGGGGCTGAGATTTGGGGGTGATCATGGGGAAATTTGGGGGATCTGGTTAAGGACCATGGGTGGGTTTTGAGGGTTGTGGGTTGGGGCCATCTGCTGTGTGGCCATGGAGGGTTTTGGGGTCCGGTTAAAGGACCATGGGTGGGTTTTGAGGGTTGTGGGTTGGGGGCAGCTGGTGTGTGGCCATGGAGGGTTTTGGGGTCTGGTTAAGGGCCGTGGGTGGGTTTGGGGGTTGTGGGTTGGGGGCACCTGCTGTGTGGCCATGGAGGGTTTTGGGGTCTCGTTCAGCACCATGGGTGGGTTTGGGGGTTGTGGGTAGGGGCCATCTGGTGGGAGGGTTTTGGGGTCTCATTTAAGGCCATGGGTGGGTTTGGGGGATCTCAGGGTTATGGGTGGGATTGGAGTCTGAGGCTCACCCACAGCAAGGATGGGCCCCTGCACCCCCCAGTGTGTTGAAACACAACAGGAAGGTCTCCCACAGCAGGCGATGCCCCGCGGGGGGGTCCCCCCGTGCTGACCCCCCTTTCCTCGGCTCGCCCCTCGCTCACCCTGCGGGACCCCAGCGCCGCCGCCCGCCGGCCCCCCCTGCACCCCGCGGCCTTCTCAGGTGGGTCCCTCCCTCCCCAGCCCCGCTGGGGCGGGCCCAGAGGCCCGGGCGCCCCCCACCCACCGCCCGTGCCCCCCAATGTCCCCCGCCCGCAGGGTGCCTGAACTGCAGCCGTGTCGGGGAGCTCACAGCCCGGCTCGCCACCCTCGAGGCGCAGGCAAGTCCCGTTTGGGCTCTGGCACCTCCCTGCTCCCCCGAGGGGCACCGGGGGTGTCACCCTGTGCCCCCTGTGCTGTCACCCGGTGTCCCCTGTGCTGTCACCCTGTGCCCCCTGTGCTGTCACCGTCCCCGTGTCGTTGGCAGGTGGCGCGGCTGGCGGTGGCCGAGCCCCCCAGGAGCAGCAGCCCGGGCAGGGGGCCCGAGGCCGGGCAGCTCTGGGGGTCCCCGGCCGCCCGAGGGAGCCCCGGCGATGACGGTAAGGCAGGGTGACAATGACTGTGACAGTGACAGTGACAGCGACAGTGACAGCGACAGTGCCACCTGGCAGCACCCGCGGGGCGGGGAGCGCACCTGGGTGCTGTCAATATTTTGGGGGGTCAGGACCCCTCATTTTGGGGAAAAGCAAAGCTGTACCACGGCAGTGGTGACACTGAGCAGGCCCACCTGACAGGGGGGTTTTTGTCCCCATTGTCACCATTGTCCCCATTGTCACCATATCCTCCTCCTCCTCCTCCCTCTCCCCCGGGGGCTGTGGGGGGACAGGCGAGCCCTGGGGAGGGTCTGGGGGCCGGCTGTGGGTGGGGGGCGCCCCGAGGGGCTGACCCCGTGTCCCCCCCACCTCAGGGTGCTCTGTCCCGCAGGGAGACCCGGCTGGAGGGGCCCCCCCGGGCCCCAGGGCGGCGCGGGAGGACGGGGAGTGAAGGGGCCAGCGGGGCCACCAGGTACGGGGGACACTGTGGGGGGACCCCAGCCTGGTGCCTGGCCCAGCCGAGCCCCCCTTTACACATTTGGGGGGTCCGTGCAGCAGTTTGGGGGCTCGGGAGGGCTCCAGGCTGCACGGCCGCGATCCTCACCCTCCTCTTCCTCCCCGCAGGTCCCCCCGGCCCCCCGGGACCGCCCGGCCGGGATGGAGCCCCGGGGCTCCCCGGAGAGAAGGGGTCCCCCGGGCCCCCCGGCCCCCCCGGCCCCCCTGCCCCGCTGGGGCCCGCGATCCCCCGGCTGGCCGAGCCCGGTAAGGGGGGCTGCGATGGGGTTCCCCAAGAGCGACCCCAAAAATGGGGCTGGGATGGGGCTGGGCTGGGGTCCTTCCCCCATTGTGACCCCAAAAACGGGGCTGGGATGGGTTGGGGGGTCTGAGCCTCTCCTGGGCTGGGGGTGGTGTGGGGACATCCTGGGGGGCACTGGGGATGAGGTGGGGGCACTGGGCAGCACTGGGGACACCCAGGACATAATTGGGGTCCTGGGGATGAGATGTGGGGCACTGGGCAGAGCTGGGGACATCCATAACATCCCTGGGGTGACATGGATGAGATGTGGGGTACTGGGCAGAGCTGGGGACATCCTGGTGGTCATTGGGTTCCCAGGGATGAAATGTGGGGCACGGGGCAGCACTGGGGACACTGAGGACATCCCTGGGGTGACAGGGATGAGATGTGGGGTGCAGAGCAGCATTGGGGGCCCTGGGGATATCACTGAGGTTCACAGATGAGGTGTGGGGCATTGGGCAGTACTAGGGACCCTGAGGACATCACTGGGGTGACATGGATGAGATGTGGGGCACAGGGCAGTACTGGGCACCCTGAGGACATCATTGGAGTTCTGGGGATGAGATGTGGGGCATTTGGCAGCACTGGGGTCCCCCCTTGCCATCTCTGGGGTTCACAGATGAAGTGTGGGGCACTGGGCACACCCCTGACACCCCCAGGATTCCAGGCATGATTTGGGGGGCCACCGGGCACTGCAGGGCACCCCCTGCCAACATTGGGGTCCCAGCAATGAGGTGTGGGGTGCTGTGAAGAGCTGGGCACCCCCTGCCATCAGGGCAGAGACAGGGCAGGGCAATGCGGTCCTCCCCTTGTCCCCACACGGGGGTCACGGGGACCCTGCCCCAAACACCCCCCCATTGTCCCCACAGGGGACCCCGTCCTGTCCAACACCTTCACCGAAGCCACCAGGAGCGTCGTGGGTCCCGTGGGACCCCCCGGACCCGCGGGGCCGATGGGTGAGGGTGTCCCCCCTGTCCTTTGTCACCCCCGATGTTTTAGGGCGGGACTGAGCCGTGTCCCCCCCTGTCCTTGCAGGTCCCCCCGGCCCCCCCGGGCCCGTCGGTCCCCCCGGGCCCCCCGGACCCGATGTAAGTGCTGGGGGGGTGGGACAGGGCAGGGCTGACCCCCCCAGTGTCCCCCCAGCGCTGATGTCCTCACCGTGTCCCCACAGGGCAGGGCAGGAGCGCCCGGAGCTGCGGGGCCCCCGGGGGACAAGGGGGACACGGTGAGTGCCACAGGGACACGGGGACACCGCCTGCGGGGGTGGCCGTGCCCAATGTCCCCATAGTGTCCCCAGGGGACAAGGGGGACACGGTGAGTGCCACTGGGACACTGTGACACCGCCTGGGGGGTGGCCGTGCCCAGTGTCCTCATAGTGTCCCCAAGGCCACCCTGGCAGCTCTGGTGTCCCCCGTGGTGGCCGTGTCCGGGTGGGGGACACAGGGAGGGGTTTGGGGACACCCCTGCTCCAGACACCCCATCCCTGCTGGGTGGCCCCAAGCCATTGTCCCCACTGGGGACAGGGCACAGGGACCCCGCCATGGGGTGGGGATGTGGGCACTGTCCCAAGGTCCCACTCTCCAAAGGCACCCCCCAGAATGGGGCTGGGGGCTGTGGGGGGGTTTGGGAGGTGGGTTCAGGGCTGGGGGGAGATGTGGGGGCTGGGGATGGGTTTGGGGTGAAATGGGGGGAACTGGGATGTGGCCATGGGGAGATTTGGGGGTTTCAAGACCATGGGGGAGTTTGGGGGTGTGGGTTGAGGGGTTTGGTGTGGGGTAATGGGGGAGTTTGGGGTTTGATTTGCAGTAATGGGGGGGGATGTGGGGTCTGGAGCAGGGTCAGTGGGGGATTTGGGGATTTGGTGTGCAGTAATGGGGGATTTGGGGGTCTGGTGTGCAGTAATGGGGGATTTGGGGTCTGGTGTGGGGTCTCAGCCCCGGGCTCTGCCAGCCCCTCCCCAGGTGGGGGTCCGGCCGTGCCCCCGGTGCTGATGGGCTCTGTCCCTGCAGGGTCCCCAGGGCCCCCCGGGCAGCCGCGGGCAGGACGGGGCACAGGTACGTGTGGGGGGTGGGGGGGGGGGTGTGGGGGGTGTGTGTGTGGGGGGGGAGGGGGGGTGTGTGTGTGCGTGTGGGGTGTGTGGGGGTGTGTATGGGCGTGTGGGGGGTGTGTGTGTGGGGGGGGTGTGTGGGGGTGTGTGTAGGCGTGTGGGGTGTGTGTGTGGGTGGGGGGGGTGTATGGGGTGTGTGTGGGTGTGTGTGGGGTGTGTGTGTGGGGGGTGTGTGTGTGTGGGGTATGTGCGGTGTGTGTGGGGTGTGTGTGTGGGGTGTGTGTGTGTGTGTGTGTGGGGTGTGTGTGGGGTGTGTGTGGGTGTGTGTGGGGTGTATGGGTCCCCCCTGCCAGCCCCTCTCCTCTCCTCTCCTCTCCTCTCCTCTCCTCTCCTCTCCTCTCCTCTCCTCTCCTCTCCTCTCCTCTCTGTGTTCCAGGGCCAGCCGGGCCCCCGGGGCCAGCCGGGCGACAGGGGCACGTGGGTGAGTGACACCGGGGACAGCGGGGGGCAGGAGGGACACACGGGACTGACAGGGGATGGGCTGGGAGTGGGGATGGACACGGGAGGAGCCCGACACCCTCCCTGCTGTCCTCTGCGTCTCTGGCACCCCAGTGATGTCCTCAGGGTCCCCTCTTGTTCCTACTGCCCCACAGCTCGTCCCTGGGTCCCCAGGGTAGGCAAGAGTGTCCCCAGTTCTCCCCAGTGCCCCACACATCATCCATGGCACCCCAGCACTGTCCTGGCTGTCCCCAGCACTGCCCAGTGTCCCAGAGCTCATCCATGGCACCCCGGTGACATCCTGGGTGTCCCCAGTGCCCCACAGCTCATCTGTGTGTCCCCAGGGCCCACAACCATCCATGGCACCCCAGGGATGTCCTGGGTGTTCCCAGCTCTGCCCAGTGTCCCACACCTCATCCCTGGCACCCCAATGATGGCAGAGGGTGTCCCCAGCTCTGCCCAGTGTCCCACAGCTCATCCATGTCACCCCAGTGACATCCTGGGTACCCCAGTGACATCCTGTGTGTCCCCAGTTCTGCCCAGTGCCCCACAACAATCGATGTCACCCCAGTGATGTCATGGGTGTCCCCAGCTTTGTCCAGTGCCATGCCTCATCCCCAGAGGTGGCTCCTGGGCTCCCTGGCCAATGTCACCCAGTGCCAATGTCACCAATGTCACCTGAACAGGCTGATGGGGCACAGGGTGGGCTCAGACCCCCAGGGTTTCACCCTCACCTTCCCCTGGTGTCGTGTTGAGTCAGGGGGTCCCCGTGTCCCCCCCCAAGGGTGGCCTGGGCCCATGTGGGGCCCCCGTGTCCCCCCCGAGGGTGGCCTGGGGCCATGTGGGGTACAGCCCCCCCTGACCCCTCTCTCTGTCCCCAGGGGGAGGGTTTGCACCAGCTCCGCGAGGCGCTCAAGATTTTAGCGGAGAGGGTTTTAATCCTGGAAACAATGATTGGGCTCTACGGTGAGTAGGGGCAGGGGACCCATCCCTGGGGTGACCCCCACCCCTGCCAGGAGGTCACCAGGCCCCCATGACATCACGGTGGCATCAGCCATGCATGCTGTCATCACCCACACGGTGCCATCGTGGCCAGCACTGGGGACCACCCCAAGGAAAGGCCACCAGGGTCCCCCCACCCTCACCCCCATCTGGGCACCCCAGAGCCCCCCCGGCACTGCAGGGACACCTGTGGCAGTCTCGGTGTTGGGGACAAGCTGGTGGCCCTCTGAGAAGGTTGGGGACTTGTCCCCCCACGTTTTGGAGGGCTCAGCGTGCTGGGGGTGGCAGAGGGAGCACCCCCAGCTGGGGACAGCAGTGTCCCCCTGGACAGGTTGTGGATGTGTCCCCCAAATCTGAGTGGCTCAGTGTGCTGGAGGTGGCGGAGGGAGCACCCCCAGGTCAGGGACATCGGTGTCCCCATCAGGGCACTGCCAGGGACATCAGGCCAGCACAAGGGACCTCTCCTGTCCCCATGGACCCGCAGGGATGGGGGAGCCCCCAGCACCCTCTGAGACTGGGAGGACCCTCCTAGGAGACCTGGCACCCCCTCCTCGTGCCCCAGCACCCCCATCCTGCTGGGGCTGCACCCCTGCCATGCTGTGCCACCCCTGCCGTGCCGTGTCCCCGTGCCGTGTCCCCGTGCTGTGTCCCCGTGCCATGTCCCCGCGCTGTGCCCACTGCGGGGCCAACGCGCTCTGCTCTGCTCTGCTCTGCTCTCTCCCTCTCCCCCAGGCCAGTAGCTTCCAAACCCTCCTGCGGCAGCAGGCCCGGCTGGAGGTCCTGGCTAGAAGGGTCACCTTGCTGGAAGCCATCATCTGGCCAGGTAACCACGCCCTGCCCCGCCCTGCCCCGCCCGGGAGCAGGCATGGAGCCGCGGCACCCCCGGGAGCGGGCACGGAGCACGGGGGGTGCAGCACCCACGGGAACGGGCACCCCAGAGAGCTTGGAGACCTGCTTGGATTGAGGGGGCAACCATGGAGATCTCATGGATTTAGCCATGCAGTCATGGAGAACCTCCTGGATTGAGAGGTGACCATGGAGATGTCATGGATTGAGAGGTGACCATAGAGATCCTCCTGGACTGAGGTGACCATGGAAATACTCTTGGAGAGGTGACCATGGAGAGCCTCTTGGTCTGAGAGGGGCAACCATGGAGATCCTCCTGGACTGGAGAGGCAAACATCGAGATCTCTTGGACTGAGAGGGGCAACCAGGGAGATCCTCTTGGATTAAGAGGTGACCATGGAGATCCTCCTGGATTGAGAGGTGGTCATGGAGATTCCCTTAGACTGAGAGGGGCAATCATGAAGATCCTCCTAGATTGAGAAGGGCAACCATGGAGATCCTCCTGGACTGGAGACGCAAACATGGAGATCTCTTGGATTGAGAGGGGCAACCATGGAGATCCTCTTGGATTAACAGGTGACCATGGAGATCCTCCTAGATTGAGAAGGACAACCATGGAGATCCTCCTGGATTGAGAGGGACAACCATGGAAATACCCTTGGATTGAGAGGGGTAAACATGGAGATCCTCTTGGATTGAGAGAGGCAACCATGGAGATCCATTTGGATTGAGAGGTGACCGTGGAGGTCTCTTGGATTTAGCCATGCAACCATGGAGAACCTCTTGGACTGAGAGAGGCAAACATGGAGATCTCTTGGATTAAGAGGCAATCCTGGAGATCCTCGTGGGCCTAGTGAAACTCTGGAGCTCCCCAAGGTTGAAGGGAGACCATGGAGAGACCCTCTCACTCCAAAGGAGCCCATGGAGACCCTTCTTGGACCAAGAGGAACCCTGGAGCTCCTTAGGGTTCATGAGAGACCATGGAGAGACTCAAAGGAGACCATGGAGACCCCTCTTGGACAAAGGGGACCCATGGAGGTCCCCAAGGCCAAGGGAAGCTCCAGAGCCCCTCTGGAACCACAGGAGACCATGGAGCCCCTCTTGGATTGGGAGAGGCAACCACGGAGCCCCTTTTGGGCCAAGGGGAACCCTGAAGCTCCCCAGGGTTCCAGGAAATCCTTGGAGAAGACCATGGAGACCCCCTCAAGCCAAGGGAGGCTCACAGGGACCCTCTCAGGCTGGAGCAGCTCCCAGAGCTCCCGCTGTCCCCAGGGATCCCCTGGTGCCAACCCCCCCGTGCCAGGGTGCCCCCCACCCTCACCCCGTCTCCCCCTCCCCATTCCAGCTGTGCTTTCCCACAGGGCTCACACCGGGGGTGCCAGGCAGGGGTGCCAGCTGGGGGATCCTCGAGTGCCACCACCGTGGGGCAGTGTCCCCCATTTCTGCGGGGCAGAACCTGCACAGCACTGATTTGGGGGGTTTGGAGCAGGGGGTGACATCCCAGCCCCTGACCCCCCCTTTTCTCCTCTCTCCCCACAGAGCCAGAGCCCGGCTCAGGCAGCGGCGCCTCCGGCACGGCGACCCCCGGGGTGCCCCGTGCCAGGCGTGGCAGTGGGCACCCCCCGTACCGCATCGTCACCGTGCCCCGCCACAACCCCCCTGGGCCGTGACAGTGCCACCCCGGACACCCCGGTCACCCCTGGGGTCAGCCCTGTCACCCCGGTCACCCTGGTCATCTCCCCGGTCACCTCGCTGTGCCACCCTGAGGAGCAGGACGGGGTCACCCCGGTCACCCCACTGTGCCACCCCGGTCACCCCGGCTACCCTGGTCACCCTGCTGTGCCGCTCCAGTCACACTGGTCACCATGGTCACCCCAGTCACCCCGCTGTGCCACCCTGGGGAGCAGGACGGTGCCACCCCCGTCCCCCCTCTTGGTGCTACTGGTGGCACGGCACCGCCCCCCCGCCATGCTTTGCCCCATCGCCACTGCCAGGGTCCCCAGGAGGGACAGGGGTGTCCCCAACGCCATCTCTGTCCCCCCCCTGCCATGGGGCAGCTCCAAGGGATGGGTTCTGTACAATTCCATCCCATCCCAGCCCGGGGGAGGGGATTGGGGGCCTTGGTGGGGGCCCCCCGGGTGGGGATCCCGCTGTGCCGCGCGCTTCGCTGCTTTGGGACACGCCAGGGCATTAAATGTCCACAAATCCACGTCCTGTGGGGTGGCTTGGTGCGCCAGGGACATCTCAGGGGACATGGGCACCTGTGGGATGGAGTGGGATGGGATGGGATGGGATGGGATGGGATGGGATGGGATGGGATGGGATGGCATCCATGGGATGGCATCCATGGGATGGGATGGGAAGGGATGGGATCCGTGGGATGGGATAGGTTGGGATACAGTGTGATCCATAGGATGGGATGGCATCCATGGGATGGCATCCATGGGATGGGTTGGGATGTGTTGGGATCCATGGGATGGGATCCATAGGTCGGGATGGGATGGGATGGGATGGGATGACACTCAGTGACACCCAAGGGACATGTGACTGTGCCATGGGACACCCATCCGTGATGTGACACCAATCCATGCAATGTCACCCGTGGACACCCACCCATGTCACAGCATCCATGGGACACCCAGCTGTGCCACTACACCTCGGGACACCCCCAATTCCACGCAGGACACGCGGTACTTGCACTCCCTCCTGTGTCCTCATGGGACGTGATGATGTCACACAGTAATGTCACTCCACCACGCTCACCACGTGGGCAGCGTGCAATGCCAGGCACAGCATGGGGACTCCAACCAGCACCCGCGGGGCTGCTTCTTTCCACGTGACCTGTGACGCCTGCTGACGTCAAACACGGCCCATGGCGTCACCCCCTGGCAGGTGACACCGAGTGACCTCACGTGCCGGGAGGCGCCGTCAGGCGACCGCGTGACCCTCAGGGCACACCGCGTGCCGCCGGGCACGATGCGTGACGTCACAGCGGCCCCGCGCCGCCCGTTACGCCGCAATGACATCACTACGCCGACCATGACGTCACGCCCCCGCCGCGCTCCCCGCTCCGCCTCGCGGCCCGAGCGCCTCTTGCGCGACGGTCCCTAACGGCCGCGGGCCGTACCATCTCGCCGCCCCGCGGGGGGGGAAGCACCCAGCGAGGCGGTAGAACCGCGCTCCGGAGCGGCGGCCGCTACCCGCGGGGCCGTTCCGGTTCTCCGCAGCCCGCAGAACCGGCGAGCAGGCCGCGGAGCGGGGCGGGCCGAGCCCCCGGAGCGCGTTCTGCCGCCGGTCCCCCCCCGGCCGCGGGGTGGTGCGCGCGGCGGGGCCGGGCGGCGCATGCGCGGCGCGGGGCGGGGCCGGGCGGGCAGCGCGGAGGAGGAAGGCGAGAAAATGGCGTCGACGGGTGAGCGGGGCCGGGGCGGGCCGGGCCCGCGGCGAGACGAGACGGGATCCGCGGCAGTGCCACCGCTCTCGGCACGGGGTGGCCGGAGGGGCGCTGGGGCGGCGCTGCCGGTTCGTAGCGCCTTGCCCGGGGTCCGCTGGGGTCGGGCCGTGCGGGGCCCGTCTCGGCCGTGTCCCCCTGCGCCGCCCGCCGGGGCCGCCCCGGGGCCGCGGGAGTTTCCCCTCAGCGTCCCGGGGATCAATTGTGGCCTCTCGGAGCTGCGGCCCCGCGGGATTGCCGGAGCTCCGCGCTCCTCGGAGCCAGGGCTCCCTCCGCGCCCTCGGGCCGGCCGGGCGGGTTTGGGAGCGGATTTGGGAGTGGGTTGGGGATCCGGGAGTGCTTTGGGTCGGAAGGAGCTGAGCGCTCATCCCATGGCGGGGACACCTTCCCCTGCCCCAGCGAGCTCCCAGCACGGCCCTGGGCACTGCCAGGCACGGAGCATCCTCTGGCATCTCCATTCCAGCGCTCCCAGCCAGGAATTCCTCCCCAGTATCCCATCCATCCCTGCCCTCTGGCAGTGGGAGCCATTCCCTGTGTCATGTCCCTCCATTCCTTGTCCCCAGTCCCTCTCCAGCTCTCCTGGAGCCCCTTCAGGCCCTGCAAGGAGCTCTGAGCTCTCCCTGGAATCCTCCTTTCCCATCTTTTCCCCATAGAGAAGTGAGGTCTTCCATCATCTCCATGGCTCCAAATTTATCTGAATGAAAAGTTTTTCCACGTGGGCTCCAGTTGAATATAAATATTTAGAAACTGAGACTCCCTAGCTCAGTCCACCTTTAAAGTATTTTAAATCCAAACATCTGATTCTCCTTAAAGAAGGACGATTTTCCTTTTTTTCCAGCAAGGAAAATCTCCTAGGCCATGGAGTGTGAGGGAATATCACCAACAGCAGCTTGGGGAGCTTGAAAAAGAAAAGTCAGTAAAGGAACATCTGCCAAAGGAATTGTGAGGACTGGGGTTAAAACCACAGCTGTGTTTTCCCTTAATTCATGGAATTGTTCCTCCTGGGAGCTGCTATTTCCAGCCTCTGGTGTGCTCCTGAGCCTTGTGAAAGAAAAGGATGAAGATTAATTTCCCCCTGGAAATAAAAGCCGGGAGATGGGTTTAACTAAATGAACCATAATATTATTTTTTATTAATGTTCTATGTTCCCATAAATCCCAGCAAATTAAAAGAGAGGCATCACCACAGGCAAACTGCAAATTCCACACCTGGCACTGAACCCTGCAGAGGCTGAAATGTTGGGTTTAGGTGGGACTGGGGATAGAGCTGAGAGGAGAGGGGTTAATTGGTACCCCTGTGTGGAGCTGGAGGCCAAAATGGGGCTGAAAATGGAGAATTAAATGAGGTTTTGGTGGCTGGAGGGTGAGCAGGGAAAAGAGTGGAGTGGTAGGAAAGGGAGGCTGGATGAGGGGGACCAGGCATTAATTAACACTCAGGATTTAGCAGAACCACGTGTAAAGTGAATGTAAAAAAAAACCCAACAAACCCAGAACCCTGAACTGAACAAGGAAAACGCTCCAATA